TGGTGCGTCACCGAACAGATATCAGGAGCACTTCCAAACTAACCACATAGGAAGAAAGGCCTGATGATCGACCTTCCAAAAACTCAGCCAATGAAATCCCTTTGGATCAGAACTGTCGGATTTCATATCATACATGGGGAGTTGGCTGGGAGGTGTCCCATGGTGCAAGGAGGACCTATGAATTGGGCAGCCTGGAGGGCATCTAACACCACTAGCCTGCTAATTAAGTTTCCAGCAAAGAAGTGCTAGGAATAGAAGTAGTAGAGAGAGCCCATGCCAGAACCAAATGACCAAGCCCACTGCCACCAGGGATTCCAACTCATAGTGAGCCTAATGGAGAAATCCTAGAGGATATAGGGTGTCTGAGGCTGTCCATGTACCTCCTTTCTTAGGAGGAAGGGTTAATGGGTTCTTAGCCTCCAGCCTTGAGGTCAGCAACCCAGCACCTAGCCCATACCACCAGAGGGTTCCTTAGGTAACCTGTAAGTCACATTGCATGTGCACTACAGTAGCATTAGGAACACTGGTGATGAGTTGGCCTTTTAACTGCAAGGTCAGCAGTTTGAAACCACCAGCTACCACCAGCTAGCTGCTCCATGGAAGAAAAAGTCAGGGCTTTCCGTTTCCATAATAGAGTACCCTGTTCTATCTTCTCCTATAGAGTTGCTGTAAGTTGGCATTGACTAAGTGGCAGTGAGGAAGGTGGTATTGCTTTATTCTTTAGCTTCCCTTCTTTCGTCCCCGGGAGAAACAAGTCACAACCAAGCTGGTTCCGAGATCAGTCTTTACAAGAGGAGAAACTCAGTCTCACAAGTGAGCAAAGGGAAGTCTAGGGTTCAGGCCAGACAGACATGCATACACTCTCCTCTCCTTACTAAAACACATATACACACCCGCCATGTAACTGCCTGCCCATGCCTGCCTTCCCACTGCACTTGGGTTATAACCGTTGTCTGTGCAGCCCCAGCCCTTTAGCATTCAGCTAGTGTGAACGCGCTCCCCGCTGCTCTCTCACAGCAATGTTGAACATTCAGTGAGCCTCTGCAGTACTGAGTCCCTGTGGGAGTGGGCTTCGAATGCAAGGAACGTTCCCAAGGGGGGACCTGAAGCATGCAGTAGGTTATCAGCTTGGAAGATAGCGGCACGGGAGGGTCGGACAGGCCCCTAGCCCACTGTTAACGTTAAGGATGGAAGGGAGAGTTGAGTAAGAGTCAGGCCTGCACCTGGCGTTCCAAGAGACGACTCACCCTAGTTCACACAAATGCAAGGGGATCATTTGCCTCAGGTTATATTCTATATATGCTCAGAACAAACACGTTAAAAAGGCGTATTCCTGCCCAGTGGTGTTCTGTGGGACCAGTAGTTTGACAGCCGCTGCAAGTGATCACTGAACTAAACTCGGTTCAACTTGAGTTTAAGGACCACACCTTCGGCGAAGAGCGGCTGCAGAAGCGCACACCGACCGCACCTGTGGGAACTCGGCGTCTCCACCTGTGCCGAGCAGCCGCAGGGCGCGCGAGGGGCTGGGACCAGGCGACTCGGCCGCCCCCCACCGCGGCCGGCCCGGGGCTCACCTGGAAACGCAGGCGCTCCCTGCGCGGCTCCGGACTCGCTGGCGACGACCTCTCTCCCGCCAGGCTCGGGTCCTCGCCCTCCGAGACTTTGCCTGCCGGCTTGGGTTGCTCCGGGATCCTCGGGGCCGCGTCGCCTCCCCCGGCCTCCCGCGCCGGCTGCCCAGCGCCGGCGGCAGGCTGCTCCCAGCTCGCGCGCACCGCGGCCTGAGCCTGGTCGTCGTCCTCCGCCCGCGGCCACGGC